GTACTTTAACCCACTGCGCCACCAGGGAGAGACATTTTTAATGCATCTATCTAATGGGAAAGCCAAAGATGCATTTGCCTAAATCTTTAATCCAATTGTAAAGTTCCACATTTATCAGTTTTCAAATTATATGAGAATCAGACATTTGACCTTAATGGGTAATAAGATAGGAGATAGACAGCTGGTTTCCCAAAAGCATTCAACTAAATGTATTCCTATTCCCAGCATTTGTATACAGCTCAGTACCCCTCTAACAGGACCCTACCCTCTTGCACATCCTTATTATGGTTTCCTTTAAGCCTCAAACTCCTCATTTTAAAAGCTTACTAGTTTTTAAATAAAAGTTATTAGTAGAAAACAACTTCATTTATAAAAGTATCTGTTCTCAATCTATTTGCTATGCTAGGAGCAATCTGCTACAGTGACAAGGCACAGATAAATCCAGGTTCCAATCTCGTATCAACTAATTGGGCCTAACTTAGAACTGTTCCGCCCTTTTCTTGATGACTATAGAGTAAGTATTTCTGTACTCTGAGCCTCAGTTGCCTTCTCTGTAGATTGAGATAAACAATTTCTATCTTAAAAACTACTGATGAAGGAGTAAGAAGCACTTAATAGAACCAGTGTTCTATTAGTTACGTATTAGTCTCCTTTTCCAGCCCTCTCCCTTAATAAGCATAGGCAACAAATACTTGGCAAGAATGCATTTGCACAGGGAGAGAGTTGGTGGTAAATTCTGCTACATGAACATTTTCTTCTACTTTCAACTTCCTTTATATTTTCGGTATGTAACTATATAGTATTGGGCAGGAAACTGGGAACATATTACTTATGATAGTAGCTTTACATGAATGAAATTGTCAATTGTTGCCAAGATTAAATACTTTTCCTTTTAGATTAGATGACCTTGGAGAAGTCTAATAATTAGTGGGTTAGAATTTTTGGTTATTGTTGAATGATCTATAAAGTGTGAGATGAAATTTTCCAAATATTTACCTGATATAAGTAATAAAACTGCCTCAAGCAGTGTTTTATTTCATAGCCTAACATTCAGGCTGTAAACTCTACATATTTTAACAGTGAACAGAAAGACATCCAAATATGACTTACCCACTGTTGAGGACAACTTGACTCAAATGAGCTTCTTAACTTCTTGCATTTAGAAGAGTCCTCTCTGTTCTCATCTAAACACTTCCAGTACTGATCCCGGGCTCCCCAACAAACCTGCCTCTCTTTCATAGTTGGGGCTGCCATTGCTGATGGACTCAATCTATGGTTCAAAATAACATTTGACATTAGTAAGGAATTTATAATATGACGGAAGGCAAGACAAGGGGAAAAAATACTGTTCTTCCCCTTTCAAGTAGTTCATTTATTCTCTTGAGCTTATTTCCCCGCGGGGAAAGTTGGGGCGTACTGTCCTATTCACAAGGTTGCTCTTCGAAGCAACCTAATTGTACAAACAACTGCATGGGGGCGGAGAGGGTGGGAGGAAGGTAAAATTATCTAGCAGGACAAGAGAACAAAACCCAGTTGGGTAGAGGAAGTACCCGTGGCCAATGGAGTCAGTGACCTTCCCTGCCCATACTCCACGCGCGCCCCTGGGGACCCACCAGCAAGCCGAACTCGCCACCAGCCCACAGCCGGGTTCCCCTAGGACGGAAGGAAGGAAATGGGTCACGCAATCCAAATATAGGAAGGAGAGTGCCGGTGTGACAGCTGGCGCCGCCCGACCCGCCGCGAGCTCGCGGTCTAGCGCTGTAAACCCGTGAACCATCAAGGAAACAATTCTCCCGGAGAATTCGCCCGCCTTGTAATGACCCTTGCGAGTTACCGTTTGCAGCCCGAGGGGCGGGACTTCCTGTCCGCTCGCCTACCTGCAGGGTGACTTCCGGGCCTGCTGACGCAAGGGAGGCGGTGCCTGTGGATGTGGAGTTGGTGCGTGGGTATCTTCTGGCGACTTCTGAGAGTGCAGTTGGCCTTCGTAGTATCTGGATACCGCTCTTTCCCCGGTTGTTCACAGGTTTGAGGGACTGAGCTCCTTACTGGAATCCAAGTTTCCATATATACATGTTGCCCGGTGACTTCCAGAAAGCTTATTTGCGGACCTGGCGGCTTTGTGTTGCAGTTTCCCGCCTGTGGCTTGGAGCAAGCTTTAAAGAGCCGTGTAGGCTTAACTCCCCGCCCTCTAGCTTAATAGGGAACGAAAAAGAAAAGAAAAGAAACGCCTGAGGGGCGACGCTCCAGAGCAAATGACTGACCAAATGAGAACCCTAGAGGTCGAGCCCCCAGGCCCTATCCTTGAGACTTAATCTTGTTACATTTCCCACCATCACCTCGCCTTGATCTCTAGAGTTTTCTTCGTGGATGGAAGCAGTCGTTTTAGTTGGAATTTGGAGACACCTAGTGAAAGAATGTTTGAATGTTGAATGTTGCATTCGCTGTGATTCCATTGTTTGTGGGATTAAGAGGTGAGCCTGATTAGCGTTTACAGATAGGGTCTTGGGGCTAAAATTTGCAGAGGGTAGTATGTATTGTTTAGGGAGAGTGAGGAAAATTAATATTTGCATTATTGTCTCAGTCTTACTTGTGGCTTTTTTACTCCCAAACACCAAGGCATTTTTAAAAGGGACTAAAAATTGCTGCCCCGGGTATTTTGAAAGAATTCTAACTTTAATATATAAATGAGTTCTATTGCAACGGAATTTTTATTGAAAATACTTTTATAATAAAGGTCAGTTAGTCTGTGGCATCTGGTGAAAGATTTCTCCCCTCAATCCAGGGTGGGAGACCTCCAGCCACGAGGAAGAAGACGACCAGAAGACGCTCGTGCAGATGCAATCACAGGAGGCTTTATTAGAAGAGCTTCGGTACCGAAGGGCGCACGGCCATTGGGCTG